TTTTGACAGCTCTGGTTGCGACGCTCCAGCAGATAAACGCGTGATTGTGTGTACAAACTGCTGGCAGCGCGGAGGGGGCTGCGGGATGAATGGGCTCTGCCAGGGAGGGGTTTCGTGGCCAGTCTGGGCTCTGCCTGACACAGAGGAGGGCTTGTACTTTCTGTTTTCGTAATGCAGCCGGGCCGCCTTGCCACCGTCTCTCGCTCTGCCCGTTTTCCTACGGTGTCTGTGCAATATTTCCACGTTGGGTTTTAGCCTCTCCCTACTCTGCAGCTCTGAGTCCATGTCCTGCTATTCTCTTCGGACAGTATCCGTATTATTTTGAATATTCTCTCTGCAATCAGAGATTTCCCTGAGTCATACCTAAATGTTAATAAAAGCCTAATGGTTTATGTTAAGGAAGGCAAGAGATAAAACTAGAGCCCTTTTATCACAGACTTTAATGGCCTGAAAATGTCAGTTGTGTGGGAGCAACTGCCAAATTTTGAGCCTATGAAGACGATGGCTAAGTCCCACAAATCAACAAGTTTGGAGCGGATTATCGGATGCTGGCTGTGTCATTTTCCCAGGACTCCAGGCATGCTAGAAGCCAACACTTTAATCCGCTCTGATACGATACATGAAAGGGGCCGGACTCCCTTTCCACTTACTGCTGCTCCGCGATGCTTTCGGACCCGCCGCAGTAGAGTCAGAAAAGCAAAAGCTGCAGGGCTTTTTTCTGAACTCCAGCCTGCTTTTGATTCAGAAACAAATTCCATCTTTGCTTAAGAACTATTTTTAAGGTCACAAACACAGGATGCAGAAGTCAGTCTGTTTCATGGTTTTCCTGAGTGCTGCCTCACCACTCCTCTTCCTCCTTCTGTTTCCAGCAGACTTCCTTCCCGAAGGGACATCCTGCGCGCCTGCCTCTGGGGCGCAGCGCCCGGGGCTGGGAGCTGTAATGGAAATTCTGGGAAATCGCTTTTTCTGCTCCTTTTAGGCCTGGGATAAAGAACTGAACTCACACGGTGAAAACAGCTGAACTGTTGAGCCCTGATGCGGCTGGAGATCTTTTATCTCTGTCCTGCTTTGTTTTAGCAATCACGCTCAGGGGTTAATCTGACTAACCCTCCTCTTAGATGTGGCTCCTTGGTTTGAATTAATTTGCATTATTTGTGAAATTTCGCAGAAGTGCCGCGTACGCCCTCGTTGGGAGCGCGCGGGGTGACAGCAGCGCTGCTCGGCTGGTGCTGGCTGGGGGTTGTCTCCAGCTTGTGCCCGATGTGGCTCTTTGTTAGCGTGAAGGACAGAGTCAAATGTTTTGGGTGCAGAAGGATTCGAATCTAGACTTGCCCAATATATCTGTGAGTTACTGACTATCCAGAGCGTGTAGCAGAAAAATAGCAGCAATACAGTAAATGCCCACGGGGTTGTTTTAAAATGTAGATGATAGAAAGAGATTGGTTCTGGAAGAAAACGTTTGTGCTTTCCCCACATCAGGGTAGGGCTGTTTGATTTAAGAAGGAGCAAGATTTAACCCGTTCCGCTTGGAGAAAGCCTTTTAGCCCAGCGTTTAAGTGTGGTTTCCCAAGCTGCCGTGTTTGCCTGGTGCCTGCAGAAGGATGTGGCTTGGCCGTATCCTGTTTACCGTAACGTGGCAGAGTTAAGTTGTCACCTCGGTGTACAGACAGCAGCAGCACAGCGTGTCACCCGCCCCGGGACCCCAGAGAGGGAAACACCATATGTCTCCTCCTGCCTGCCCGTTGGAAGAGCTGATGTCATTCAAAGAAAGGTGTTTCAGAGGAAGGATGTATGTGGCCAAAATAAAGCTGGGCCTGCGTTAGAGTAGTTACATCCTGTTTACTGTGGAAAACACTTTGTGCTGATATTGGCTCTGAAACGCGTGATTTATAAGCCGGCAGGCAACAGATAAGGAACTTCCCGTGATTTTGGCCACCTGTGAGAAGAAAGGGTTGTGTCCCTCGGGCTGGGAGGCAGACAAAGGCCAGTCCTGGCTCCCCGGAGCAGCTGCTGCTGAGACGAGGTGCTGAGCATCCCTCAGGCTGCCAGGCGGGCCAAGGTGCCTCTGTGCCTCGGTTTCCCGGCAGGAAGAAGCCTTGTGAGCCTCAGGTGGTTAATATTGGTAAAGAGTAGTGAAGAGGGGTTAGAGATAATCATCCCTGAGACAAATAAATAAACCCAGGTGCATGTCCAAAGGTCTGGCTGGGAGTGAGAGGGACCATTAAATCAGAAACGTGCACGGCTTGCCGTATCCTCTGTACGGTGTAAAGTGTTGCGCCGTTACAGGGATAAACACACGCTTCAGAACTGGGGCTGCGATTTTATTTTTTAATAGAACGGAATACTGTAAAACTGCAAAACGCATTTAGCAAAGTCACTTGCAGCCACCACACTCGATCCTCTCGTCTCGGTCCCACGTGAACCGGGCTGCAGCTCCGAGCGTGTGGCCTTCTCTTTGGCGCTCGCTTTAGCGGAGGCAGTTTTTCACATCAGGCTGTGTTCCTGCACGGCGGCTGCGACCGGCAGCAGCGGGGGCCGCGGGGGTCCCAGGTCAGGGCGGTTTCCTGGAGAGGACCCGCTCTGCTGCTGCGGCAGGGAGCTGGCCCGGGGGGTGTCTGCTCCCCCCGGGCAGGGCTGCCAGCCCTTCCGCAGGCAGGGGAAGGGGCTGCCGCGGGCCGGGGCTGGGGGTGCCAGGGTTTGCTGACCAGGGCTCTGCTGACCAGCTGCCACAAAAGGCAGGGGGCTGGCTGGCACCCGTGCCTGCACCTCGCCCCATGAAGCAGCCCAGCCGCTGCAGAGGGGTCGCCAGCCCTGTGGGGGTCTGGTGGGGGCTTCCGTCTGTCCCCCAATCCTGGAGAAGCAGCCCAGTTGCTTCGCGTACATTTGGGGTTTGAGCAAGTTTCTTCACCGTTTTCACCCCGCGATGCGCTGCTGTAGTGTGGCACGGACCCGGGACGCGGGGTCGTGCCCGGGAGGGCAGGAGGTGCCCCCCGAACCAGGGTCGGAGCGCAGCCGGGGTGCTGCTCGGGTCTCATGCTCTTGCCTCATCTTCTAGCCTGCCTGGAGAGAGGGGAGAGCTGAAGGTTTATTCTGGTTCTATTAATGAAATAATAATGGTAATAAGGGAATTAAAATAGAGGCCCTGGTGCACTCAGCCCAGGGAGGAGGGACTGTGCTAAACGGGCTGGTTGTCAACTTCTCCTGCCTGGTGGAAGTGCAGGTCCAGTTTCTTAACAGCTACATCCTCAAATTCCTGCATTTGTTCTGCTTAAATTAGCACTCCCGACGATTATTTTGGAAGAAATATCCCTGTTATGGCTGAGTTCAATAAGGCGTGAAATGTGCTTAGTTTTAGGGGTGTGGGTTGCGGTGTCTAGAGTTTTGTATAAGCACTCTGCGCAATCAGGGCCCTGGTTTGGTGCCAGCAAGTACCCGCGGGTGCCGGCAGGTCAGGGCCCACCTGTGTGCCCACACCCGCCCAGGGGGCAGCAGTTGAGGCTTCTCTAAAGAGGAGCCTGAAAGGACAGTGCAGATGATGTGGTAATGGTCCCGGAAGCATGCCCATCAGTGGAACCCTTCGGCTGCACCCGGGAGTGGCAGCAGGTAAACTGGGCAGCAGGACTGCTATGATGTTCAGACCTCGCTGAATCCATCCACATTGTCTGAGCACAGATTATACGGAGAGTCTCAGAGGATTCAGGGTGAGAGGGTTGTAAATCTTGGGTGCGTCTTGGCAGGGTGGGAGGAATATGAGGCATCAGTCCTGTTTTCAAATGCTGCTGTCGTGCAGCAACTGTGCTAATTAATTTAGCCCAAGATAGTCAACGCTGTTGTCTTGCTTTGGGACAAATGAGCCAAGTGCCTGCTCAGTGGCGAGCCTCAGAGTGAGGAGTCCTTAACAACTGTCCTCTGCCCTCGCCCCTTGACCCCCTTGTTCCCGCCACAGCCTGCTGGCCTTAATTTAATGTTTCTGTGGAAAAGGCAGGTGCTGCTTCCCCAGAGCTTTGAGGAACAGCTTGGAAGCAGAAGCCAGAGGCGAATGATGAACCTCTTGTGGTCCTGGGCACAGGGCAGAGCTGTACTTGCTCCCTGGGGCACAGCGAGTGGCCGTGGGCTGAGGCTGGACGGGGTTGGTGGCTCCAACGTTTGGGCAGTTTTGCACGGTGCCTCCTTCTGCTCAGCAGCTTCTCCATCCCATCCTGTCCCAGTGGAAAACCGTGGAAATTTTGCTGTTGACTGCAGCAGCAGCAGCAAGATCAGAGCCAGGATTTACAGTCCTGGGAGCTGCCAGCAAGCTTTTTTTCCCCTTCTCACTTAGCTTTGTTCTCACTCACTTCCTCACTTGCAGGGAAATAATATTGTGAGGTTTTTTATTGGAGAAACCTTTTACTTCACCTTCTCTTTGAGGTGGAAGGCGCAGGAGATGGCTGCTGGGCCTGCAGCTGAGCGTGGCTCCGTGTGTCCCCGAGCACTGATCCCAAGCCGACCCGTGGGAAGGGGACCCAGGGCAGCGCTGGGGCGGCCCTCGGGGCCAGCGAGGGTCGGCAGCCAGCGGCCCCTGGGGAGGGCTCATCTTTGGCGGGCTGAGGAACCTGCCCTGCGGCCCAGCCCCCTGCAAGGAGCCCCCTTGTCCCCTTTTACTGTCACCCCTGGTGTGGAGGGGAGGGTGGTGCTGCAGTAAACGGGCCTTTGGCTGGACGACGCGCTCCTGGGGTGCCCCGTGCCTGGGGGTTTCGGCAGCGATCCTGGCGCTGCCCCGATCCCACCCGCAGCACGGGCAAGGGCACGGCTCCTCCAGCGGCTCGTCGCCAGCAGAGTCTGCTCTGGGTTTGGCTCCGAGGGTAGATCTGGCAGGCACAGAGGAAGCTCTTACAGCTCTTTGCTCCTGTATGAACCAGTTGCATTTTCCTGTTCTGTGACTTGGTAGCGAGGAGCTTTCCCTGGGTGGTTTGGCCACGCCGGGCTCACGGCAGTGACGCGGGGGGGACCTGCTGGCTGCAGCCCACTGACGCGTGTGTCTCTCTCCACAGCTGCAGCCGGAGCAGCTGGACTGCGGGGCCGCGCACCTCCAGCACCCGCTGGCCATCATCAACCCCGTCACGGCAACCCCCGTCTTCACCTACAGCGGCCTGACCGCGGTGGCCGTGGCCAGCGTCAATAACTACACCGTCGTGTTCCTGGGCACGGCCAGCGGGGGACTCCTGAAGGCAAGTGGAGCCTGGCGGCACCGGGGGTTGGGGGGCGGCGGGCGGCCCTTCCAGCACTGCACAGGGCACAGTGTCTGCTGTCGAGTGTCTGAGCACCGGCTTCTGCTAGGCAGTGAAGAAGCGACGGGATCTGTGCAGTGGTATGTGCTGCCGGCTGGCCGGTGGCCCTTAATCACTGCTCAAGGCTGCCGTGCAAGCAGGATGTTCTTGATGAACCCTAGTCTGGAAATGTTATTGTGCAGCATTTAATTATTCACTGTTCTTCTAATAAATTGTCCCTCCGAGCTGATGGCTTCTGAAGGCTCCATGTAGACAGGGGAATCACTGAGAGATGCTTCATCACAGCTGAGGCCAAAGCAGGTGTGACTCCACACATCTGATGGAGAATCTGCTTTAAACTCTGAGCCGAAGGCAGCGTAGGGCAACGCGATACCCCGGCTCCAGAGCCAAGATGCAAGGCCAAGGTTTCAGTAACTTTAGCACTTGAAGTTTGCCAAAGAAAGTTTTGATTCCAGCCAGCCACAAGTTTGGTGTACTCAGCATCAGAAGTCCTTAGAGGAGAGGGGAGGAGAGCCCTGGCGCAGAGACATGGCGATACCTGCCGTATCTCAGCCTGGGATGAGTGGTGCTTAAAGTGGAATATCGGATCAAAACGCTTGGAGAGACGAAAACTGATCCAATCTCTTCCCTTGCATCCAAGTGCTCCTGACAGAAATGTGGGAACGATCACAAAGAAACTCTCAGCTTTGATTTTTGCCCGCAGGGGCAGGTAATCCCGGGGGTGGGAGGAAGGTGCCCCCCGGCCCGTGCGCAGGGCTGCAGAGGCACATGCCACACGCAGCGCAGCCCCCGTTCACACAGTATTAACAGCTCTGCTTCCATTACCCTCTCCGAGAGAGCAGCCTTATCTGCTGCGCCTCCATTAGGGAGAGGCTCCTGGCTACCCTTTGCTGGGATAATTTGCTCAGATAGCTCTAATCTAATTCTACAACACAGCTGCACAACCAGAAGCCCTTTTACCTTCGGGGCTCCTTGTTATTTGGCACGGGATACAAGATACTTTGCGTGAGTTATCATTCAGATTTGCTGCCTGAGAAAAGACAGCAAAGGGGCAGAAATAGTGCTCGACCAGCTCCTGCCAGCAGCAATTATGGCTGCCAGGGGTATGTACGGGGAATTAATCAGACAGGTTGCAGATGGGCATTTCGTGAGGGCCGGTATCGGTGCCACGTCCAGCAGTCATTAGAGGAAAAACAGCACTTGGGAAGCGGTGGCCTGGGCAAGGTGTGCCAGGGTGAACGCCCTGAAGGAGTCAGGGCTGGGAAGGGTCTGTTCTGGTCAGTCCCCACGTGTCCAGGTGCTTGTAGACCAGGTGCTGTGGTGGGGTGACCCAGAAGTTCAGCTCTCACCGGCGCCAGGGCAGCACGCGGCCCCCAGCACGCCCCGACCCCGCTCCAGCGAGGGGACTGGTGGTTTCGGCCCCTTTGTGCTGCTGCAGTGGCCCTTCCCTGGGGCCCGCAGCTCCTGGGGATCCAGGGAGGGTGCAAGCACAGTGAAAACGTGGGGTAGAGGAGTCTGGGAGGCAGAGGGACCCAGGGAGAGGCACCTGAAACCACCAAGCGTAGAGCAAATCTCAGCAAGGAGGGAGAGAGGACAGTTGCAAAACTAAAGCAGAGGGCATCAAGACTTGGTTCACGGACATCTTGGGTGATCCCAGGAATTATTTAGCTTCTGGATAGCCAGTTTTTAAAATGGTAGTTCCCTTTTTTTTCTGCTTAGTAGCTTGCAGTGCTTGCATATGGTCCTTAGCAGAGGGAAGCCCTCTGCTTTGAGCATGTGCTATCTTACTAGGACATGTTGGAGCTGCTCTAGTGTAAGAATTAATTAATTCTATGTTAATTAATTAATCCAGACTTTAGAGAGCAGAGACACGCTTGGTCCTTAACAGTTATTGCCTTCCCTTGCTGGTAAGGAGGTAGGAATTTTCCTCGCTCCGTTTCTGTTTTAAGCTGAAAAGTGACTGTCACGCAAAATTGTGTAGCCCTATTGTTATTTCCTCTCAGCAATGCCACATTTAATTTGCTGAGTTTTCAAGTCAAATGCCAAGACATTCTGAGATCTGAAAGGCAGGCTGATGCTTTGCAGCCTCTTCCATCACTGCCAGCGCTTCAGCTGGTGATTCATGAGGCAAGGTAGGATTCGGCTCTCTTGCGGCAGCTGCCACGGTTTCTGGAGTGAGCAGGGATAAAAGCTGCTTTTGGCCAGGAATGACAACGCTTATTTCTCAAATATGCAGGGAGCAGGGGGTGCCATGTTGTGCAGCCGTGTTGCTGCTTTTCGCTGTTTTCCATTAAGCTCTGGAAACGCAGTGTTTGTAACAAACACACGTGTGTATAACGAGGGCCGTAGGATGGAGCCTCCTCCAGGAGGGTGACGCGGGCGTTGCGCTGCCGGTGCCGGCTGGAAGCAGCCGCGTGCGCCGGGAAGAGCCTCCACGAGAAGCTTTCCAAACAGGGCTTTAGCCAGAGGGACCAAGGGCTGCCAGGGTTGTTGGTCACCGAGCAGGGCTGCTGGCCGTGGCCTGGGCTTCCTGGGCCGCTCAGTGCCTTCCCTGTGGCACGACGCTGGCTTTCCAGTAAAGCTCTGAGTGTGCAGCCTGCAGAGTGTGTGGAGATTTACAGCGGTGTGGAGCGCCGTTAGATACCACTCTGGTTCTTGTTTATAACTGAGGAAAAATAATCTTCTCCCCATAGCGTTTGAAAAACGGTCTCAGTGAGTGGCTTCTTCTCGCTGCAGATTAATCTGGACAGCACCATGAAGGTCATTAGCAGGAGATCCATTTCGGTGGCTTACGGAGAGCCTGTCCACCCCATCATGCAGTTCGACCCCTCTGATTCCACCTACCTCTATCTGATGACCTCCTATCAGGTGAGATCTTTAGTCGTCGGCAAGCTAGTCCTCTGAGCATCATGCCTTTGATTTAGCACTAAGCCGGGAGCAGGAAGGGACAATAAAAATTGCTTCTGCATTAATGGGCAGAGCCAAGAAGCTCAGAGCTTTGGCTGGGCTGTCAGGGGGCTTTCCAAGGGGAACCTGTGCCTGTCCTCTGGCGCTGGGTGGGCGTCACGCCAAGCAGAGCAGATTGTCAGGCTTCCTCCTCATCGCGGTGGCCAGGTAGAAAGCAGAGTGAGAGATATCAAAACCAATCCCACTCGGGGAAGTGCAGAAATAATGAGAGGTTGTTCCTGTATAGAAACCTGAAAATTACAGTACGCAGTCTGCAAGGAGGCTTTTAGGAGATCCTACAGACAAAAAGTCTGCCTGTCAGAAGTGGTCCTTGGGGGAGGTTTCTGCTCAGCCTGGCTGGCAGGAGGGCTGGCGAGGAGGGGGGCTCTCTGCAGAGCCCGGGAGTGCCGCGGCAGGTAGGAACAGTCAGTCTCATCTCCATCAAGTGAGCAGAAGAGGAGAAGCTGAGTGCTCCAGGCACTGGTGGTTTGTCCTGAATTACATTTTAATCTGTCAAAACAGATGCACAACCACAAATGTTGTATGTTGCGTTTATATTTTCCAAGCCCTAATTCCCTGCAGATTGGTCATTATCATTTCACAGAACCCTCCCGGGATGCCTCTTCAGCTGATGTTTCAGCCTGTCTCCTCTCAGCCCCCAGGCTGGGCTGTGCTCCTCTTCTCGGGCTCGAGCAAACACCCAGGGCAGCACTTGGGATGCTTTCCTCTGTTGCTTTTCCAATAAGCCAGATGAGTTATTTTCCTTTGGTGCAATTAGCATCCTGGGAAGCTCCCCAGGAGCTTGACGGGGTTGGGACGGGGGTGCTGAGCCGGGGGGCTGGGGAGCAGCAAAGTGCCAAGGTGCCCACGGTCTGGGGCGTGCTCAGGGCTCTCAGCACCTCACGTTGTTGGTTCCCACTGTACCAGACAACTCGGTTTTCCTTCCCAAATGTTTAGAAATTGAGCGAGGAAAAAGCAGAAACCCACACATGCTTTCCCTCCAACTGCTCCTGCCGAGCAAGTCACCAGAGATACTTCGATTTCTTAGTAAATTAAGGTTTCCAGAGTGTTTTGTGGTCATTTTGTGAATAGCCAGACAGCGTTCAGCTCTGCCTAGAAAGGAGCTTTCTGCAGGTCTGAGTGAGAGCTTTTCGCGGGGAGGGACAAGCTGTGAAACCATCTCTGGGCTGACACCTCAGGAGGTGTAGCCCGACCATCACACATCTGCCACCAAGGTGCCGGGTGAAGAGGAGCAGCTCAGCCCCGCTGAGCCAGCCCCGTCCCTTGGGCGTCCTCACGTGCCCTGGGACACGCGGCCCCTGGGCTGCAACGGGCTCTGCTGGGGCACGGGCAGGGCAGCGGGCAGCTGCCTGCACTGCTGCCTGTGTGGGCTGGCCAGACGCAGCACACCCGGCTCGGGGGGCGGAGGGCGGCGGTGCCAGGGTCTGCTCCTCGTGGTCCGTCCCGTCGGGCTGGGTCTGGGCGAACGGTGCAGCGGCCTCGACGCCGACGTCTCGTTGGTAGCTACGTGTGGCCGTCCCGGCGCATCCCGGGCGGGTCGAGCGTTCCTGTGGTGGTGTGAAACGTTTGGAAGCAGTTGTGCTGTTGTCGTGCAGATGACGCGGGTGAAGGTGGCTGCCTGCAACCAGTACCCGACGTGCACGGAGTGCCTGGCCGCCGCTGATGCCTACTGCGGGTGGTGCACGATGGAGACCAGGTAGGACGGGATGTGTCCTCTGGCCCTCGAGCCCGGCAGGAGTTTCTGGTGCCTTTTACATTTTCACGCAGTCATGCTGCCATTAGTCTTTGTCCATTCCTTACGAAATACATGCTTTTAAAAACAATTGCATCTGGTCTGAGATGGTTGGGATGCTCTTCAGAGCCAGGATTTAACTGTAGCTGCATTGTTATGCTGCAGTCAGCTGCCAGTGCAGAGAATATCTCGCAGGCATCCAGCCATGGGACTGAGAGAGCCAACACCCAGTTAAAGACCATCTTTTGCCCTTGCAATTATCATTTATGAGTAGGAGACGATCAACACTCAAAAGGGATTTACAAAATTAGACTCTGCGTTTACAAACTGAAGAAGTCGGACAAAATGTCACCTTCTCCTCTTCAGTTCTGGGCTCAGCCTGGCCTGCTCTCACTTAGCCCGAACTGTTGATGCTGGTGGGAGTACGTGCTCTTATCGTGGCAACCAGACACTTTAAATATAGCAGCAAAGCTTTAGGCTTAGCTGCATGGATGGGGGAAAAAGTTGCAGGCACAGGATTTTCTCAGGCTCTTCCCTCACAAGGAAGTCAACGTTTTTATCACCTGTTTTAAAAATAATCAACCACAAATTGTTCCCCTGTTCGCTGCAGGTGTTCTCTGCAGCATGAGTGCACGAACTTCACAGGGGCCAACTTCTGGGCGAGCGCAAGTGAAGGAGTGCAGCAGTGCCCTTCCATGACCATCTTGGAGCC